GGAGGTGACCCAAAGAAGTGAGGGGAGTGGAACAGGGCAGGGGAAAGGCTACCCATGATAGGGGATGAGCATGCCATCTGAAGGTGAATCTGGGGAAGAGGGAGATGAGCAAGATTCAGTGAGGAAGGGTCCAGGACCATGGTCCACCTTGCTGTGCTCCTGACACAGTGAGAGGGTAATGACACAGGGACCGCACTGGTATGGACCAACACTCCCCACGTGACCGAGACAGGCACCGCGGGTGCTCAGCAGGAAAGCGTGGAGTGCCAGATCCCAGGCTCCGAGGACCCACAGAATCAGGAATTCTAGGGTGGTATTTTTAATATTTTGGGTTCTGGGGACTGAACTCAGGGTGCATGACCACTGAGCTACATCCCCAGCCCTTTGGATTTTTTATTTTGTGACAGGATCTCACAAGCTGCTTAGGACATTGCCAAATTGCTGAGGCTGGCCTGGAATTTGCAATCCTTCTGCCTCAGCCTCCCAAGTCACTGAGATCACAGGTGTGTGCCACCATGCCGGGCCCACTGTCTGTGTTTTAACAGGTCCTTCTGGTCTGAGGGGCACAGATGAAGCAGGAGGGGACACTGCCCCCACCCCCAGTACAGACAAGGAGCAGCTCAGATCCTGGCACACCCTCCAGGCTTGCAAATAGCACATCATGCTACGCAAGCGTCCAGCCCTGAATCTGTCCTTTCCCCTTACATTCCTCAGACTTTTTCTGGAATAAAACTTAAAGACACATCAAATTGACACTGAGGCTCTTGCTAGTGGTGTCCCCAACATCTCCCCAGCTGTTCTTTCCCTCTCCTCTGCCTTTGCCTGTGCTTAGCCTGGCTAGAGGTGATCAGGCCTAAAGAGGTGGCTCAGCTTGCTACAGACCCCATGATCCCCATCAAAGAGACACACATATACAAATATTTGTTATTTATTTTGAATAAAAAAGTGGCCAAAATAACAACACTAGTGGCTATGCATACAAACACCACATATTTGAGGTTATTTCACATTTATGAAGCTGCCATTATGTACAGCACTACATATTCACAGAAACTTCATTGAACTTTAAGTACTAAATCACACAAACAAACGAGGGGGTCCAAACTGAGTAAGAGCTAAAATTTAATTGTCTTTCATTAACTGTATCAACGGCCAACCAGCTAATAGGTATAGAAGCTGAGGATCCCTTCCCCTTACTTTTAATAATAGCGAAAATAAGATCACTCCACAGGGTTGGATGCTGATGGGAGTCTCTCCAAATCTCCATTTCTTTTTCTCTATAAATTTCCCAGAAGCCTCAGCCCTAATCTTAGATAAGAGCTCAGGGCTGGTTACATTACCTGCAGGAAAAGCAAGCTGAGGAAAGCGAAGGAGGTGGCACAGCCTGCTTCCCCCGGGCAGAGCCAGTGAGCCCCAGGGGAGCTCTGCCCGCCTCCCACACGGCCACAAGGTGCTGGACACGCAGGACGAGCACCATCAGAGCACCTGCCCAGGAGCCTGTGGCCTCAAGTGAGGCCAGCTGCGGAAACACAAGGAGAAGGCAGTGGGTTCTCTGATCTGGAGTTATTCCAAGCAAAATAAAGTTTTTTATTTAAACACTAAGAGTCTAAGACATACCATGTGACTAGATGTAATAATTAAAAAAAAAAAAAAGATCTTTCCATGACTTTTTAAATCTTCTTTTTTATTTAAAAAAAGTCAGGTGTAAATATACATATAATTCAAAGCCAAGCACAAAGTTTAGCACAGCGTTGGGTAAACATAAAATATATGTCACTATACACAACACAGACTCATTTTTATATACAGTCTTATTTCCGTACAAACAAGCTTGATATTCACTTTCATATATCAAAGTACAAATCTGAGTCAAAGCCTTGAAAAAGACATAATTCATCGACATTTTGCATTTAATTTTGCATTAGTACCCCAGAGAGAGAGAAAGGGAGTGGTGGTGGAGGGGACAGAGCGCTAGCCGTGAACCTACGACCCTCATGTCAGCTGGCTGAGAGGGCAAGGACCCAGATCTGCCGTAGCCACTCACACCTCCGTCCTGGCCGCCTCCAGCACCTGTTTCTGTGTGAGATTAACATGGATTCGGGATGAGATTCAGAGCGCTGAGGGTTTTCTCCAACCCACGTACAGAACTTCCACCAGGCTGCCACACTGTGACAATTTCATGGGAGAGCGACACCTTTTCCCCATCTCAAGTCTTTCTTGAGAAGAACGAACAAGTCCTCGGAGGCTGCTGGGGGCCTGGACCTGGGTGTCCTCTCCCTGGAGCCACAGACGAGCCCCCCACCCACAGTCAGGAAGGAGGGACAGGGAGCAGCAGGGACAGACGCCTCCACACCAGAGGGGCAGATGCCTTGGAAACCCCATTCCTCTGCTAGACTGGCCCGTGGCCACCGTACCATGGAACACAGCACAGCAGCAGACGTGAAGCTGTGCCGTCCCCCAAGACAACCTGGCCATCGCCTCCTGATACTGCCTGTTGCTGGGCGGGTGGGTGCTGTGGGACAGCCCTCAAGCTCAGGATAACCCTGCTGGGCGCCAGGACAGGGATCCAGTGCTTCCTATGGACGCAATGCTGCGTCCCTTTAAGGACAGTTCCATGTGCTCTGGATTCAGGCTGAGCAGCAGACACATCACCAGGCCCGCAGCAGAGGTCACTGCCAAGACTCTCTTAGCCTCCAGAAAGAGCAGCTCCGCGTCTAGGAGCTGTGAGAGCCCTGAGACAGCCTGAGCTCTGAGCGGCCAGTGCTGCCTTCACTGAAGACCAGAGCCGTCTGCCTCAGCTGTACCCTTCAACCCGACAGCCAAGGGAAAAGGCCGGGCGAGGACGCGGTGGTCAGGAGCCGTGGGAGTCCTGCAGGCTCGGAGAGCACGGGTCGCTGACAGCAGAGCTGCTGTCCACCTGGCTGGCTGCAGGGTGTGACTGAGCACAACCTGCTCGGTCAGCAGAGCCAGAATTTCTGCTGGGGAAGAAAAATATGGGTTGGGAGGAAGGGGAACGGGTGGTGGTAGTGGCCCGATCCTGTATCCCACAGCCCAGCCCAGCCTCTGGACTCTCTGACCAGGAAGTATACGTTGAGGAAAACCAGACACAACTCACCCTGTCGTTAACAACTAACACTGTCACCTTCAGAAAGCACAACGACAGTTTCTTTCAGGAAGGGAGCCCCACCCCGTGGCTGAGCAGTAAGAAAACTTTTTCCCTCATCCATTCTTCTTTCAAAAAAGAAATTTTACCTCTGAACATATCCTACAGCTGAGGGAACTAAAGGAATGGAAAGCAAGAGAGGTCAGGGGCAGAAAGGGGGACTGACTGATGACACTGACTCCTGCGTCTGCTCCAGGCCTTGTGGCCAACGCCAGCCTAACCAGGGCTGCCCTCCTGCCCTCCAGCATTTCACCTGATACCTCGTAATCAAAACCATGTTCCAATCTTTAACTGTCAACCTTCAACATTTTTTCTACCTGATTAACCTCTTAAACCTGCTAATAAGTCCAAATGCATGCTTCAACATCAATATCCTCAAAACTTCTCGGAGGCCGAAGCAGAAGGTGACTCTCAACCATGCGCTTGGCCAGGGTTCCAATAACTCCCGACACTGAGAAATAATTGGTAGTTTTGACAGATTTAAGAGCGGTGGAAAAGCCTAAAGTCTGGGTATGGACACAAGAGGACTTCAGCATGAATTTCCAGCGTAACAAGCTAAACATTTCTTATGTAGAGTAACAGGAACAAATTAACCTAGGCACAGGTGACACACACATGGAAGTCGGACTCCGGAAACGTGCCGTGGCTTCGAAGGTCTCACCGTGCAGCACCTGACTCCTGCACTTCAACTGCAAGGCAGCTGGTCTCCCTCCCATTCCTGACACGGTTATTACAGGTACAGCAAAACCAACTTGAAAGCCACCAGAACAGCCCTGGCAAATTTTAGGAAGGTCCAAAGAGGGAGCTAAGTTTAAGTGGAAGGGTCCGGCAGCAGCCCCTTGCCACTCCTACTTTCCAAGGCTGCACGGATCACCACTCCAATGCCGAAACTCCAACTGTTTGTGAGGCTGCCATTAACCCCAAGTCTCTTGTCTGCTCAGCACTGTGGCTGGGGGAAGGGGTGAGAGAGGACCTTCCTAATAGGCATGTGGACACCGGGCAGAGCCTGGACCTGGGCCATGACCCTGCAGAGAACCACATCTAGGAAATCAGTTGCCACATTTATTTTTACAGACACATACTAAATTCTAAGATCCTTTTTAGTTATCGCAGTAGTTAAATTTTCTCGAAAATGCACAACTGCTTTAAATAAAAATTTAAAGTAAGTTTTTAGTGGCAGCAGCATAAAATTCCCCAAAAAAGAACAAATTCCTAGAGTCGGGCACGGTGGCACACACATTATCCCTGCAGCTCAGGAGGCTAAGGCAGGAGGATTGTGAATTCAAAGCCAGCTTCAGGAACTTAGTGAGGCCCTGTCTCTAAAATACAAAAAAGGGCTGGGGATGTGGCTCAGTGGTTAAGTGCCCCTGGGTTCAATCCCCAGTACTAAGAAACAGAAACAAAAACAAATTCCTATGACTCTAATCTGCAGCAAAGAACCAGGTGAAACCTAGGATGCCTGATGACCATAGCTGCACTGTCCTCCAGTGCTCATCACGCTCACGTCACATGCCCTGTGAACTGGACAGCTGCAGGCACCAGTGCTTCTCTACCACTCTGACCTGTGCCATGCATGTCCACCATGCTGCTGGGTTCCCCACCATATACACTGATTTAACAAGCTGGTCCCTCAAGTCTGGACAAACATAATGCTTAAAATCACCAACAAAATGAAAAAAAAAAAAAGCAGAAGAGTCCAGCAAATAGGGGCAGGGGCTGGGGCTGGGGCTCAGTGGCAGAGCGCTTGCCTAGCACACATGAGGCCCTGGGTTCGATCCTCAGCACCACATAAAAATAAAATAAAGAAACTGTGTCCACCTAAAAATCATATTTAAAGAAAAAAAAAAGAGTCCAGCAAATATATGATTAAGCCTAAGAGACAAAGCAAGCCCTTGAACAGAACAAGACACTCTAGGGCAGTGCTGGAGGGGCCTGTGGGAAGAGATCAGCACAGGCTTGGCTGTCTCGTCCACAGCAGCCAACGGCAGACACAATTTCTGAGTGAGGCAAAATGTCTTTCACTGAGGATACAAAATACAAGCAGGAGACCAAGTCAAAATAAAGGCAAAACAACAACAGCAGCAGCAGCAACAAATCAAAACAAAAAAAACCTCACAAAATAAGAGTGAAGAGTTCATATTTTGAGTTCCCATCTGACCTTCCAGAGCTATGCACTACTTCAAAGTGCAGTCCAGTTAATCAGCACCGATCCCTAGGGCACTTACTCCAAAAACCCAGGAACACTGTGATTCCAGAATGTCTATTAAGCGCAATTAATAGAGACATGAAACGTGACATCTCTTCAGACTACAAATACCGATATTCCAAACTCCAAGGAGCTCTGCAGAGCAGGAATCCCAGGCTCTGCTCAACTCGGCTGCACACATCTATGGCACTAGAGCTCTCACTGCCCTCTCTCCAGAACTCCCTGGACAGACTCCTCCTCAGTCACCATCCAGCAATGTTGACATTAAAAAATACTTAAGTTCCAATTTTCCAAAGAAGAAAGCATTTTTCCTCTTTGCACAGCATCTCAACCCAGGTTGCACAGATGGGTGAAGCGGGCACTGTCACCCTCACATATGTTAAGAAGCAGGATCAGCAAATCTGATGATACGGAGACGATCAGAAACACATCACAACTGTTGGCTTCGAACAGTCACCTGATTGTGTGATACATTAAAACTGATTCGGTCTTGGCTTCAACTTCTTAAAAATATAGAATTTTAAAGGAAAATGTTATCCATATGCATGAGAAACAAGAGTCAACCGGACACAGATCTGCAGCTATGCACTGGGAGCAAAACATCAGCCCACACATTGTTTTAATACTTTTAATATCTGTTGGTGTGTGGAATGCACGGACCAGGCTATTCAAGCCCTCTAGAGCCATGGGCCGCCTCAGACCAAAAAAGGATAAGACCTAACTCAGCCCAGAAGGCCCTCACACGATTCTCTACCAGAGACCACCAGGTTCCTAGATTCCATAGGACAATTTTTTGTTCAACTGTTTTCATCAAGACACTTGAAAGTAAACGTTCCTCATTGGGTAAGGAACTGGGGGACCACGTTCATCTCAAAATGACACCAAGCCTTCAGTCACTTGAAAGATATCTTTTAGTCCTGGAGATGGTGTGCGCTGCCCTCCCAGAGAGGCCCTGGCGACTGTTAGGAAGAGCACCTCTCCACGCAGTCGGCTTCCTCTAGTGTACGGCTTCCCGTGCTCTGGAATGCTCCACAGCTCACGCCCTTCTGCCCTCCACTACTTCATTCAGAAGACAGGAGAATCACAGAAAGGACAGGGGCTCTGCAGCAACCTCTTAATCCAGTCAGGATCTGCAGAAGGAAGATGAGAGGCGTCAAGCACCAGCCTAGAGCAGGCCCAAACAGGATGCATGCTGCACGGCAGCATCAAGACCACATTCTGGCCCCAGTTCTGCAATGACCATGTGTCCCTAGACAAAGCACCTTACTTTTTGGGTGTAGATGGACACAACACAATGCCTTTATTTTTTTTATGTGGTGCTGAGGATTGAACCCGGGTCCCGCCCGTGCTAGGCTAGAGCTCTACCTCTGAGCCACAATCCCAGCCCCACCCTACTTTTTGGGCTTAAGTTTCAAAACATTCTACAAGCCCTGGTCAGTCCGCAGTGACAGAGCAGCAGCCAAGATCCACTTTGCTCGAAGTAAAGGCAGTGTGCACTTAACAACACACACTCCAGGGACCATTTCCTAATCAGTTCTGGCTTCACAGCAACACTGTGAAGAGGCCGGAGCCTGCTCTGTCCCTGACAACGGACACAGCAGTGTGGAGCCCAACACAGCCATGATGTGGGGTGCTAGCACTAGCACACTGCCCACCCACACCTCCTTGCCCCTGGATGGGAAAGCACTCACCTTCTGGGGCTGGGTGCCGAGCGATGCTGTCATGGAGCAAACACCGTCTGTATATCAAGCTCTGGCAGGACTGGTAGGTTAAGAAGCACCTGAGAGAAGAGCGATTGTACTGTCAGGGCAGGGGCGAGCCCGGGTCCCACCAACACTGGGAAGGCGACAGGGGCCGAGGGCAGCTCCAGCAGGGTTATGGCAACAATGCGCCCTACCCTAGTGCCCCACAGGGCAAACCTGCATCACCTGCACTTAGCAAGAGGGAAGTGGCCTGTCATGTTACTGACCAGAGACACACTGCCTCCAGGCCAGATACTCACTGCAGCTGCTGTGTGACTGCAGCACTGAGAGGATTTAATCTGTCATCCCCGACTATTCTCAATTCTTATTACGTTAAAAAAAAATTGAACACACTATTACACGGAAGGTCATTCTTGTTAGTCACTGCTAGGTTTAGGTAGAAGCACTATCTTTAAAAACCTGACAGCTATGAGGAAAACCCGAAGGGCACCAATGATTCAATTCCACCCAACAGGTCCTCACCAAGCATCTACCAAGACCAGGCCAAAGGGGCAAGTGGAGGCCATGAGGTGGTCAAGGGTGCAGGTGGGCCCTGGAGGTCGTCTCCCCAAAGGCTGTAGTTTTCCCTGAGCGATTAGGGAGCTGGGAATACAAACAGGAGAGGGTTAGGGGAAGGGGCTCCAAGCAGATTTACCTGGAGTGAAGACCTGAGCATATGGTGAAATAGCCTACCTGAGAGAAGCTAGCACCCAACCTCATGGAGAGAGACCATGCTGAGGTACTTTAGCACTACTTTAATCAACAAAATGGAAAACAACTTTTGTGAAAGAGTGCACCTAGGAGGGGTTGACACACAGAGGTCACACGTGGACTCTGGAGCCAGCAGGCCAGGCTCTGAGCTCTGCCACAAACCACCGGTGTGACGGGCAAATTCACTCACTCTTGCAACACAGTGTCTTGTCTATAGATGTGAACAACGTGGCTCTCCTGCGTGGGGTTTTTTTAAGACACATCACTGCTGAGACTGTGCCTACAAGGTTGTCAGTGCTCAAGAAATGTTCTTTTTACTATAAACCGAAAGTCTACCATAAGCTTGTTTCATATTCTGAAGAAATTAAAAAAAAAAAAAAAAGAAAGAAAGAAGAAAAACCAAAGTCCGAAGAGTAAAATAAGAATCAGAACAAAACAAAACAAAAACAAAAAGACACCTTCCAATGAAGGAATAAATCACAGAGCGTTCACACACGGAGAACCCTAGCGCTGTTACACACTGGGCTGCGGTACCAATGCAGACAACACGTGCAGCACGCAGCCTGGTGGCCAGCTGGCAGGCTCTAACAGCCTCTCAGTTAGTGTCTACTGAGGGCCTCCACACACCAGGCACAGTTTCAGAAAGAGCTGTGATCAAAACACCAAAGTCCCTGTCCTCATGGAGTTTCCCTGTCCACAGGAAAGAGAAGAAATAGACAAACGTAACATGCTACATAACAGTGACCATGGAGGAGGGAGCAAGGCAGGAAGAGGGTGCCAAACTGGGAGGGAAGGGGGTCAGCAGGCACTACAACTTTAGCCAGTGAGTCGGAGGGCTGAGAAGGGGACTTCTGAGGAAGGCACATGGTATCTGCTGGAAGAGCCTACAGGTGGAGGGGTCAGCCCCACAAAGAGCCAGAGCAGGTGTCCCTCACGGACCTGAGCAAAGAGTCCAGGTCACCTGGAATGCAGAGAGCGACAGAGAGGTCAAAGCGAGGAGGTGGGGAGGAGGACCCTGGTGTGTGGAGCGCTCGAGTCACTGAAAGGAATCAGCCCTGCACATCAGAACAGTTTGTTCAGAGGGCTGCAGGAGCTGACCATGTGTGGACAGCATCACAGTGACGACTAGACTGAGAAGACTGTCGAGGCAGGGAGGCAGGCGGCAAGACCAGGGGAGACAGCTACGATCCATGGGCCAGAGACATGGCAGAGACGGAGCAGTGAGACGAGGCTGGGCCGTGTGAAGCGCTTGCAACACCCCCGAGAGGCCGAGCAGCAGTGAGGCCCCAGGTCCAGAGGGAGGCCAGAGACATGAGCTCCCCAGTCATGGCTGGGGTGCGGGCCTCCAGGAGGCTGAGAGGAGGACAGGCCCCAGACCCACATGGAGGGGAGGAGGAGAAGAGCAGGGGAGAGCCAGGTGAGGAAGCAAGGACTGTCCAAGAGGCTCACAGTTGGTATAGACTATGAGGATGGGAGGAGAAAGGCTTCTACCTTTCATTATAAATTCAACAAATAAAAAATGTGTCCAGGAACACACATAAACTCATCTATTCAACAGACAACATTTTGTAATAACTCCTTTAGGAACTTCCCACTACTTTACAGGAAAACAGTACAATCAAAGCAAACTGGAAACCTCTATAAACCAGGCAGCAAGTCTGTCCTTCAAGGTCCTGCTCCAGTCAGACTGAGGAGGAGTCCACACCAGGCTTCAGACTACACATCTCATCTAATGTAGTGGTGGGCGACACGTAATGAGGTCACCTACTCTTGGCCACAGTGGCTCACGCTACACAACACTCAGAAATGAGCAAGAGCAGGCGTGAGATACCGGCTTACCGGAGCCAGATGTGCCCATTAGAGCAGACGGCCTGCTTGCGATCTGTGAATGGCAAGATCTCTTTACACAAGCTGCAGTGTTCAGGGAAAGTCTGTTTGTTCATCTTCTTTGAGATGTGTCCGATCAGCACCTAGCGAGACAAAGTGGTCAGCGGTCAGCGATGGTTGCAGGTGTCCTGGAGCAAAACCTGTTATGAGGAGACAGCCACACAGGGCTGAATGGGACTCTGCACTTCCACACTAGCCAGGCTTGCTGTCAGACAGGAAAGCTGGACCTTGGACATGTCAACTGACTGAATAAAACAAACACATTCAGGCACCTTGTGACCACAGGGTGAACCAGGACCATTACAGGAAAAACTGTGAGGACCAAACTCACACTACTTGCCTTGCTTTAGTTGCTCCTGTCTGAAGCAAGGATTTTGCTGTTATTAATAATGTTTTGACATTAACCTCCATACAAAATATTGAGTGATACTGCCAACTTTATAGAACTCTACAAACGTCTACCCTTTGAGAAAGGTTTACGAGTACAAGAGTCAGGATTAAAAAATAATTTTCCTTCTGATGGCCCAAGATCCACGGCTGAGCCAGTCAGGCAGCCTGCCTCTGAGGTCCAGACACCCGCTGCAGAGGCGTGGCAAGACGCGCCTTGGGAGGGCAGGAAGCAGAGTGAGATGGGGGGGGGCGGCACACTAGGCCTTGCCCTCCTCTAGCTTTGCTTCCCTCTACTGTTAAGATCACACTCTTCAAAACAAAATCTTTTTCAGATCCACAAATCCACTTCATTATTTTCTTCTTTCCTTCCCTTTTTGGGGTGCCGGGGGTTAAACCCAGGCCTTGCACATGTCAGGGAAGCACTCCACCCCTGAACCATAATCCCCAGCTCTTTTATTTTGAGACAGGATCTCACTAAGTCGCTTAGGCTGGCCTGGAACCTGGCGTCCTCCTGCTCTTAGCTGGGATTACAGGCATGCACCACGGCCCAGCCATCATTTTACTGGGAAAAAAATGAAACAAAACCTCTCTTCTATCTCATTGGGAAGCACAGGACGTGCCAACCCTTTAGAACCACCTTTTCTAACTAGCATAGTGCCTTTCCAAATTTTGAATCCATTTATACTTCTTGTGAAGAATCTGTAAGATTTTGGATTAATTCACTAAAATTAGTTTACTTAAATTTCAAAGTAGCTCAGTAGCAAACTGCTTGCATAGCATGTAAGAGGCCTGGGTTCAGTGGCCAGAACTACCAAAAAAACAAAAAGGATCTAACTTAGGACCAGTCATAGACATGTCAAGCCAGCCCAGAGTTCCTGCAGTGCAGATGCACCTAAGACTACTGTGGGGTGCTCTCCGTGGCTTCCATCATAAAGCCCAACTATTTCATCTGACTCACTCTCAACGGGGCTCATAGTTCTTCATGAAAGACAAATATTGGTTCTTGGGGGTCAAAATATCCTTAAAAAAAAAATTTTTTTTTTGTTTTGTTACCAGGGATGAACCCAGGCACTTAACCACTGAACCACATCCCCAGCCTTTTAATTTTTTTTGAGACAGGATCTCATTAAATTGCTTACAGTTTCACTAAATTGCTGAGCTGGCTTTGAACCTACAATTCTCCTGCCGCTGGGATTACAGACGTGTGTCACCATGCCCAGCTTTAATCTTAAGTATTCAAGTGCATATACATATATATATATATATCATGTCATGGGCAGGAATAATCGGGAAAAAAAGAACACTCCAGGGGAAGGTGATAATAAACGAAAGGTTGAGAAGCACAGCCTGCCAGGCAGGAATCTCAGAGGTGGTTCATGACCACTGGTAAGAGCAACATCCCAGGAGGGAGGATTTTCTTCTTGGCCCATGGTGCAAACACTCAGGCATTGGGCTACAGCCCAGCCCAGACCTTCAACTAAAAAGGCCCTCAACTTAAGTACACAGTTAAGATTTTAAGACGCAGAGTGCACTGTCTGCAGTCAGAATGCAGTTGGTATAGCCAGGTAGGTATAATCTTTCCATTTTTCAGACTGGCTTTGCTGGAACCAACCAGCTAGACACAGCTTCCCAAGTCCACACAGCATCTAAACCAGAATTATAAACTAATAAGAACGAACTTCATTACTCATTCTCCACAATGCTTTTGCCATCTCAATGACCCTCGAGTCAGTCCCATGACTTGATGACAACCAGAACACTTTCCCAGGCAATTGAAACATAAGGAAACACTACTTAAAAGCTGACTTTTAAAGTAAAAAAGTCAGTTACATGACCAGCACACCTTGGACACTCTGAGGGTCGCTGCAGACATCTTGGCAATCATTTCAGGAAGGACAGGTGTCACTGCCAGCAAGAAAATGTAATAAGTGATTTCTGAATGATTTAACATTAAGGATGAAGATACTTGAATTTTCTGTTTTTAAATAATACTTGTTAAATGAGACTTGAGGCAGTGAGAATAGTGCTAGTCTTCAGAGCAAAAGGCCAGGCTGTGGTTCTGAACACCTGTGCACACAGCGTGCTCCTCGGAGCTGCGTTCTTTGGTATCTCAGCAGATGCTAGCTGCTAGGATGCTTCCCTGGCGGAGACATCTGGGTGACAAAGGCACATTTCTCTTCTGTAGGGAGTTTTCTGAACCCTCAGAATGGCTACCTGCACAGGGTCCCTTAAGAGGAACAGAGAGTATGCAGTGTCCCCAGGCTTGGGATCCTGGTGTTCTCTCAGGGACCCCAAATGCTACAGAACATGTTTTATATAACACTGAAGACTGTTCCAGTGCCAAGAAAAAGATAATACTCAGTTTTTGTAAAAATAAAATATATATGTTTCCTTTGTGTGTTTTGGCAAAACCAGAAGGCCTCTTTAAGTCCTTTAAAACCAAAAATGTGCCCCCTACCTAGAACTTGTGTAAAACAGGATGGGCAGGGAGCAAGGCATGGAACCTCCACCACACTGCTCTCTGCTCACGCAGCCTCCCCAAGCTCATCCACAGCCTGGAAAGCTCCTCTGGCAAACCCTGTGCCCCAGCCCAGGCCACCATAAGGAAGAACCCAACGTTCTTTGTGTACTTAGAAAGTGTCCTTGCATTTAACCCCTATTTCCTCTTTGTTTCCCTAACCTCATGCCAATCAATTACCTACAAAGTGCCAACATGAAAGCTTAGCTCTAGCGACCCAATCTGCCACGTGTCTCTCAGAAAGGGAGCAGATGTGACAGTTTTGGGAAACACCTACCCGAGCCGTTCTGTCCTCATACTCTTCGTCAGACATTAGAAAGTTGCAGAGCCCTCTGGTGGGGATGCTGGTGTTCTCCGTGATCCAGGTGTGCAGGTACACTTCCCCCAGGACGCGCTTCATGTGCTCCCTGGTCAGGTGCATCTCCACAGCCTCGATCTTCCCTTGGATCTCAAGGAGCTTCTCCTCCACTGCCTCGTGGCCTCCACCGTCTCCCGATGGGGGAAGTGAGTCGTCTGTGGGCTCCTCTGCTTCGCCCTCTCTGCTCCTCTCCTGCAGGCCTGGCTTAGTCACCTGTCTGGAAGAGGTGCCTTCTTCTTGCTGCTCATCCTCTGCATTGCCCATCCCAGGAGAGTCAACAATCAAGATTTTTGAGTCTTCATGGGCTGGTTTCCATAAGGCTTCTGAAGGAGTTTTCTGCATTGACTGGTACAAAATCCTCAGGAGAAAAAGCTTAAAACGCCAAAAATAGGTGACTCCACTGCTTTCGATCTTTTTTTCCAAAGCTTCATGTAAAAACTGAGGGATATGTTTATCTTTTAAAATTTTCCAGCGTACTAGGTCTATTAAATCTACCTGCTTAAAGAGGTTCTGCACTGAAGACTCCAGGAGCTGAGCAGCTGCCTCCTCAAAGGTTTTGAGAGTAACGAACTGGACCTGATAATTTTTGTTGACAGGATGAAGGCCATTGACCATGCCCTCAGTTGTGATGATGGCCAGATACGCACCACACGGGCTCACTGCTATCCCATGAGTCCTCACTGAGCCAAACACATCTGAGAGTTTAATTAACTGGTGCTCGAACTTTAATGCGACATCTGTGAAGATGGGAATCAATTGCCTCACCTTCCCATCGCTGGAACAAGTGTACACGGTTCCGTTCTGTTTGTCTGCAGTCATGGAGACAATGGGCAGGGAGTGAAGGCCTGTGACGTGGGAATTGTGAACATTCAGACCTGCCTTGGAGATCAAAAGAAGACACCAAAACACGTAGGAGCCTCTTGCAGCCACCACCAGGCTGCAGCTGCACTTCTGGTAGGGGTGATAAAGCGGCACGCACTTAATGCTGTGCACAGGCAACTGGTCCATTTCTTTCCACAAGACAACAGGCTGCCTCAAGGTGAAGTAGCCCTTGACTGCTTTGAGATTGACAGGGATAATTTTTACGGGTCCAAAAGCGCTCCCCACGATAAGGCCACTCATTTTCCGATTATTGTGCTCATATTCCCACCAGAATAAAACACTAGGGGAGCTGATTCCAGACTCGATCGTGTTGCATGAGGAGATGGATTCCTTTCCTACAAAGGGCAGCTGAAATTGCCACACGGCAATGTTACCGTTCTCAAAGAGGACAGCCAGGAGCACACTGCCCACGTCCCGGCACTCATTGTTGTGCTTGACCTGCTGAGTGGTGCAGATGCCCGACCACTCCATTCTGACTGGGGTCTGCATGCTGTGCCTCCTCTGAAATTCAGCAAAATCCCCGAGATTTCCCTCTGGAGCCTCATTTTTAGAGAGCCTGTAACTGGTCTCATAGAGACGCTCTCCATAAATCTCAGTCAGATCAACCAGCTGGACCCACTGGAGTCTGTTGAGGTTCACCTGGACAGTCAGGCGATTGTCCATGGTCAGTGCTGCCAAAAGGCACCTGCCATTTGCATCACAACCCATGGGAGACCAGCTGGTGTATTTGAACCCTCTCATTGGTGGCAAGGCCTTCCCCTCAGGGTTGAACACCCTGTCCAACATGAAAGTCTGGCTGATGGTGGGGTCTTTGGAGCTGGCAAATTTCTCCTTGCACTCAGCAACTTCTGATTTTGAGCCAACCTGAAAATAAGAGAAACAGAAACTATCAGATAAATGTTCACTTGTATTAACTGAGTATTTATGATGACATACATAATAATTTGATGTCAAGTCCATTAATTTTGGCATTAAACACATTTAAAAGATCATGTCCAAAGACTGAGTATTTACATAAGGAAATAGCAATTATTTTTTATTTTTTAGTCGTAGTTGGACACAATACATTTTTTCTTTTTTTTTTAATATTTATTTTTAGTTTTCAGTGGACATAACATCTTTATTTTATTTTTATGTGGTGCTGAGGATTGAACCCAGCACCTCGCGCATGCCAGGTGAGTGTGCTACCAGGTGAGCCCCGGACACAATACTTTTAATTCATTCTTTTTTTTTTTTTTTGTAGTACTGAGAATTGAACCCAGCATCTCCCATGTGCTAGGTAAGAGCTCTACCGCTGAGCCACAACCCTAGCCTCACAGTAATTTTTTTAATTTTAATTTTTTTTACTTGTTGATGGACCTTTATTTTATTAATTTATTTATATACGGTACTGAGAATTGAACCCAGTGCCTCAAGCACTCTACCACTGAGCCATGATCCCAGCCCCACAGTAATTGTTTTTTAAGGGCCAGAATAAATGTCATTATTCACAGACTGGTTCCCATATGCTTCTTGACAAAAGCAACAAAATGTAGCTGATTCTTTAGAGAATGGAGTACTTAGCTGAGCTTGTCACAGAACAGTACAGGTGCTAAAAACTTATAAAATATGTATCCATATTCATCTTTGATACAATTAGATACTAGAATTTTTATAATACCCTTACAATACAAACCCTAATTTGCGAACTACCCTGAGGGCTGATACCAACTGCTCTCATGCTATACAGTAAGATGGCTCCAATCAGACTACTCTGCCTCTAGTTCTTGAACATTCCCTCCACAGCTTCACTTTGACCCCTTGCCTAGTCCGTCCCCTATCCAAATCCCACCCAGCTTACCAGGCCTGATTCTAGGAGGTCTTCCAAGATCATTCTAGCTATCATTCACCTCTCCCTTCTCTAGGTCCATACATAACACACTAACAAGGCCTACCGGTATGATGGCAAGTTCTTTATAAAGTCTCTTAAGGGGATATTAAACATGGAGGAAGAAGTAAATGACAAAACAAAAACTATAAAAAAGTGATTTGGAGCCATGAAATAGCCAGAAAAAGCAGAGGTGAACCAAAAGACGGTTTGTTATGCTATAAGCATAAGGACTTCTTAAGAGAAATGGAGAGAGAAAGAAAGTAGCATCTTGCAATTCTTTAGTGTCAATCTCCTTATTAATAGAGACTGATCTTCAAACTTGAAAGGGCAAAACATGACTAAAAGAGTTCAAGTCTCAGACATATATGAATATAATAAAAGCCACTTTAAGTAAGTCCCCAAGCACAGAAGAATTACACTCTGGAACACAAAAAGAACTTGGAAAACATTAACTCAGAACTACAAGCTGCATTCTGGGTAAAGCTTAGACAACTGGAGACCTGTCAGAAAACCAGAGTGCAACAATAGTCTAAGAAGATTCCCCAAATGATGAACACAGGCAAGCTAATAAGCCTGATTAGGAATAAAATTTGTCAGCATATTAACAAATGAACAGTGAGTGCATGATGCAGCAGCAATCATTAGAAACTACCAAGAGATAACTGGACGAGTCTTTTTTTCCTTCCTGCTAACACTGCCAGATAAAAGTTGCCCACCTAATTAATTAGTTGGCTAACTTTTCCTAAAGTGATTCACAGAACACTACCCCCCTAAACTGCTTCTTGAAAAACAGTTCTATGTCCAAATAGCTTTGGAAATACAAAACATTACATATCATTCCTACTTTCAAAGTACAGACTTGTTTAACTGGAGTTAGCCAAAAATAAAAAATAAAAATTTAAAGTAGGACCTTTTGGGGGAGTTGTCATCCTAAAGAACACTCTGGAAACAGTGTTTTAGGCAGCACATCTTGACTTTAGAAACATATTTAAGATAATTTCTTGGACATGATATAGACCCACGGACAGCCACAGACTAGAAATCCCAATGAAATGAGGTGTAGGTGGCTACATGGGTAGATACAATGAAACACACCATAACAAAGCAAACCACCGGAATGAAATCTGAACCATGATCCCATACTTCATGTTCAAATGCTTGTTCCATTATACTCCAGTTCCACGACTGTGTGCAAATTGCTTAAACCTTTTGGTCTTAATTTTCTCATTTACAAAATAATAATAATACATGTCTCAGAAATTTAACTAAATCAAAATATGTAATACACATTAGTGTTTGATAAACATTGTCTGTAATGATGATTATTATTAGTGTTCTCTGAGGATTAAGTGACTGTTAATGAGACCTAATATAAGTATGTAAAATGTAGGGTACATACAAAGTGGTGCTGTCACTAGGGAAGAGATGTCACTGGAGAAGGATCTTGAGGAGTTTTTGGAGAAGGGGGCCTCAACTCAGGACAAGTGGAGAGCCTAATGAAGGTGACAAAAATTTCAACATGTGTCTGTAGAGGCATAGAGATTTACTTAGTAAAGCAAGGAGTACACATTCAAGGGAGAATGTGGGCCATCTTCGGAATAAGAGATGTATTCTGGGGGTTCCTGACTCTTCTTCAGAGGTTAACTTGGTGAGAGGTGGGTATGGGAAGGTGTGTGGGGATGACCTCAGGCTGGGTATCCATAGGAACCTTGGGATGACCCAGTTTCCATTATTTGACAGGAAGCATTGGAAGGTCCTCTAAATAATAGGATTTTATTTGTTTGTACCAGGGATTTAACCCAGGAACACTAACTATGAGCTACAACCTCAGACCTTTTTATTTTGAGATAGGATCTCTTTAAATTGCCTTAGGACCTCACTAAGTTGCAGAGGCTGGCTTCGAACTTGTGATCCTACTGTTTCAACCTCATCAGCCACTGAAAATTATAGGTTTCTTAAAATGTCAGCACCCAAGAAAATAACTTAGAAATAGGCTGGTCATAAATGTTTGAACTGTTAAATATCTGCAGATTTTCCTAAAAGAAATTCATAATCTAAATAATAGAATCAGCAAAAGCCTAAAAAAGGCTCAGCATGTGTCTGAGCGTAGGAGTGCTACACACTGTAACTGAGATCCAGGTTGCAGACTGCCTGTCATTTGGGTCAGAACAAAAGCAAAGTTGGACAACACTGAGTAGATTTAAGTCTGCAGGGATCATCAATGGGTTGAGCCATCAAAGTGCTGATGGACTGTTACATCCTTACCATTTCGCCAGTTTTATCCCATGAGGCCTCTTCATGTCAGCTCTCTATCAAATCATGAGAGGGCTAAAGAAGGATTTCCTGGTACTATTTAAACAGTGGTGGCAAATGTCCAATGTGGCAAGATGAGTCAAATTTAAAATATCCCAAGGATTTAAGGATATCTTCACATTCACACTCAAGTTGTGTTTGAAACTTGAATTAAGTTTGTTAAAAAGCAATAAAGGCTACTGCCACTCTACCTACAGTGAGTGACTCAGATTCAGAATGGCTGTCCAGAGTTCAGTAAAACTTTACTTTCCAATTATCCCATCTCTGTCTGTGGACGTGATCTTTATGGTGGGTATCACTACCTGTTACTGCATTATTATTTGTTCATAACCAGCCAACGAATCTCAGCTCCTTGAGGGCAGGCACTTACTCAATCAGTGGTGAATAACTATATAATACACTTTGACAGGACGCTTACTGTACTTAAGAACACAAAAATCTGTAAAGGGACAAGGAAGTTTTCATATTTCTTTTTTTAATTTATTCTGATTTATTATATCTGACAGAGGAATGCAATTTAATTCATGTTATACAAACAAAGCACAATTTTTCATGTCTCTGGTTGTACACAAAGTAGAGTCACATCATTCATGTTTTAAGTTTTCATATTTCTAAGCCACTAAAATGAACAAAGTAAAACAAAGTAAAAGTCTTACTATTAAAAACCTGATTAAACCATAAAACTTGGGGCTGGGGATGTGGCTCAAGTGGTAGCTCGCTCGCCTGGCATGCGTGCGGCCGGGGTTCCATCCTCAGCACCACATACAAACAAAGATGTTGTGTCCGCCGAAAACTAAAAAAAATAAAAATATTAAAAAAACAAAACAAAACAAAACAGACAACAAAACTTTAGAAACTCTACTGAAGTTGAGGTGAACTTAGGTTTTAAGAAGCTGAAAGTACCAAGTTTATACAGAGACCTTGGACTTGAAAGTTTAAGCACTGCATCTGTTTCCAGAGGCTTTTGCATTGCACCTCCCAAAGATTTTCAGCTAGTAAAGAAAAACTAGAGTGAAAACCCCGAGAACCAGTGGTTACCTTTGGGCCCCAGGTGTGACATAAGGATCATTCACAGCAAAACCGATGAACCGGTAATACAATGGAAAGGACCAGTTTTTCTTCTCCAAAGCAAAAGCGGCGCGAGAGGACGCTACACAGTAAACAAAGCCAGCCCAGGGCCTCGGGGAGACGGGCCCAGACAATAGGAGCAAAGCTAGGGGCAGGTCCGGGGTTGGGTCAACAGGGGGTGGAGTCTCGGGAGCACGGCGGAGGGCAATCAGCGCCAGCAGCCCGCCAGAAGCAGGGGCGAAGCCAGGGCCGCGGGACCCGGCGGGGTCCCAGCCCGGGGTGATCCTGCCACGGCGCCGACAGCCGAGGGCTAGCTCGAGTTCTCCCAGGCGGCGGCGACCCTCCCCCTCGGCCTGCGAGGCCGTGCGAGAGGCGCCCCCCGCGCGCTCGGGACGCGCGGCGACCCCGCCGGGCGCACTTACTTTGAGCAGGCAGCTGTTGAGAGGGGCGGGCACCGAGGTGCGGTGGATCACCAGGTCCTGGCCCGGGTTGTGCACGTCGCAGATGAGCTCCAGCACGGCGATGCTGCGGGCCGTGGACACCGACACGCGGTGGTCCTCCGACCAGGCCAGCGGCTCCAGGCCGCTCACCGCGTACTGCAGCTTCACGGCCGGTTCCCGCCGAGTCACCA